GGGTGGGGGGAGGGGAGGAGTATGGAAGGGATGGGAAGGGGAAACAAGGAGGAGGCAACAATGCTTGATAAGAAATATACTCGTTATCTTGCCCATGTAATTGTAACTCCTCTGTACGGTATTCTCACAATAAAAATAAATAAATAATTTTTTAAAAAAGAAAATTACAATGTAATTAGTATTCCCAATCAAAAGAATGAAATTTCAAATATTTACTAAAAATGTTAGATCATGAGCATTTTGAAACAAAGTTTTCCCATCATAACATTTAATCATTACATGATAGTAATATAATACCAGAAGGTTTTTCCTTATTCTTTTTCCCTTTTCTGCTTCCTCCCTCCCTTCCTCCCTCCCTCCCTCCTTCCCTCCCTCCCTTCCTTCGCTCCTTCATTCCTTTCTTCCTTCCTTCTTCCTTCTTTCCTTCCTGTCTTTCCCAACCTCCCTTCCTTCCTTCCTTCCTTCCTTCCTTCCTTCCTTCCTTCCTTCCTTCCTTCCTTCTTCCTTCCTTCCTTCCTGTCTTTCCCAACCTCCCTTCCTTCCTTCCTTTTTTTCTTTTTCTCCTTTTTTCTAGTACTAAGTTTGGAACTCTTGTAACTGTCCCAGCTTTTTTGCCCACAGCTGGTATTCTACCACTTGATTCATGCCGTCAGCCCAATATTTTGCTGATTAATTGGAAATGTCCAGCTAATTTGGGTGAAAAAGGGCCTTAAAAACTTTTGAACAAGATCCTCTTGACCTTAGCATTAGCCACATTTTAATATTTGAAATATCATGGTTATTGACGTTTGTTGTATCCTAAGAATCATCTTTTAAGTCCATTAATGTTTCAGGAAGACCTTCAAACCAAGATGAATCATCACAGCCATTTTCATGTAGGTAAATCCCTTGAGATCTGCAGTCTGGGAATCATAAGACTGCTCTACTATGGTTTCTTTATGTCCAGATACAGCCCTAGCTTAAGTATTGATCTTCAGTTTATAGCCACAAGCACATTATCTTTTATAGTAACCTAGTCCCATGCAAAATGATAGTTATCTCTGTGTTTGAATCTTGACTTTTGTCACTGCTAGTCTTGGAATGGAGAATTTAAATGTACAGTAAGGTTGAATTCTTCTGTTTCTAAAATATTTTCCCAACATTTAGAAAGGGCTTTGCTATTCCTAAGAATGAAAGATACTAAAAGAATTCCAGGCTGTTATTAGTAATACTGATTTTATTTAATTATTAAATGCACACAAAGGATTAAAGTAATTAAGTGGGAGGAACTCCACACACATATGCACATCTGTTTCCTGGCAACTAGGTCCTGAAAATAAATACAGAAAAGATACTCACTTCCCATCCTTGAACCAGTGGATAACAGGAAAGGGAGTGCCTTTGACCAGGCATTCAAGGGTGGTGTTGTGGGTGAAGACAACAGAGACTTCATTTGGTAAGTTGGCACCTAGTATGGTGGGTGGAACTTGAACAAAGACATTTATCATGAAAATCTATGACTGAGCACAAAAAGTTAGGGAGAAAGAACAGATGGTCAATGATTTCTATAGTATATATATTATAGTATACATATAGTATATATATTTCTATATATATCTTGTTAAAAACACAGTATCACCCAATAATCCCTTTACACATCACATCTGTATACCCAAGTGTTCAATTTAAGAGAAGAAATGTATTCATTGGACACTTGGTAGTAGGAAAATTATGAACAGGAACCATAATAGAATCAAAGACATACTGAACTTGCATGCAAAATAAGGCTTTGATTTTAGGTGGACAGCTAGTGTCTCATGCCTATAATCCTAACTACTCAAGAATCTGAGATCTGAAGATCAGGGTTCACGCCAACACAGGCAGGAAAGGCCATGAGACTCTGATCTTCAATGAATCAATGAATTACCAGAAAGTCAGAAATGAAGATGTGGCTCAAGTGACAGAGTCTTATCTTTGAACAAAAATAACTCAGGGACAGCAGATCTTAAGTTCAAAACTAAAAAAAAAAAAGAGCTTAGATTTTAAATTGGTGGTGATAGCCACACAAAGCAGTGTTTTAGAAAATGAATGTCATTTTCAACCAGTCTTCAAATTGTCCGTATTATATGTCTCTTTTAGAGGACTCCTATGCTAAAATTGGTATAAGGTTTCAATTGGGAATGTGTGTGGCTATCCAATTGGTATTTTAAGTCCACACAGCTACTGAGTGAAAAACAGATCAGGGTGGCAAAGAATGGATGCCCAAGGATAGTTAGGAGGCTATTTTCAGTAATTATTTTGCTTACAAATGATGGCATATTTCCACAATGGGATAAAGTGAATGTGAAGGATACAGGTAAGTTTCAGGAATTGTGGATAGGGTGGTAGAAAGAAGAGACACAGGCTCCTGAAAAAGCAAGTAGATGGATGATGGCCTAGGGCACTCAGAGGGGTTTCTAAAACCTACCAGAACACATACTCAATGGGATCTTACTGTTTGATTACCAATAAGGTATTGGATGATATACAACTAAGATATTCAAATCAAGAGCTAGGTGTGGTAGTACACATCTCTAATCCCAGCATTTAGAAGGCTAAGTAAGGAGATTGAAGATAGTGTATTTCAGACTATCTACATAGTAAGAGTTTCAAAAAGACAAAAATAAGTGAATAAGAAAGTAATATTTCAAAAGAATACTTGGTATCTATTCCTAAAGGTTAGGCAAAAACTAGGAAATAAAATGGAAATTTGAGAGTCATCACCATACAGATAGAATTCAAAGTCATGAGAAGGAATAAGGGTCAAGAGGAAAAATCATACAGATGAGATTAACGACAAGGTATTACTTTATCTCTTTATGTAGCCTACACTTAAATAAATATAACAATGGTAATTTGGTTAAAAAATGAAAAGTACCTCATGCTTTGAGGAGACAAAAGAAATATCATTTTTCATATATATGACTACTTATTTTTATGAATGCTAACTTTAATGTAGCCTCAATTCCGATAGTGAATTAGAAATTATCTGGCCATTTTGATGAGTAAAATATGGAAAAGGGAGAAAGTCATCTCATCACAAAATAAATGTTTAAATGTCAAATACGACATCACCAAAATTACAAAATTTTAAATCTATGAGTCACCATGAAAATATTTGATATATTACAGAGGTGACTCACTGTCCAAAGTTTCTCCCTCCCTATTTTTAGACTTCTCTTTCCTTATTTTAATCAGTACCTATTTAGAAACAACAATTAAAATGCAGAGGAAGTGACCTTCTTTGGTTCAAGTACAATCTTCCAACTAGAATATGTCCACAACATGAGTGCACATCATCTAACTACTCATATAAATGACTAAATCTGTGTGTATGTGAGCTACTTCCAATAGAAGTGTTTTCTTCTCATTTACCAGAAAAATTGACCTGAGTAATATTTCACTACTTGATACAACATAGTATCATTTCTGGGTATGTAAAAATTTGGGATATATGACCCAAAGGTAGCTCTGAGTTAAAAACACGAAAGCATTCTGCACTAAATGGTGCTGGTTAGTCAAAATTAAAGAAAACAGTAATAGAGTGAAACAAATGGTATTTATTCTATCAACTTATTTTTTTCCTCTGTCTCTCTTTGATCATAGTCAATTCTATTCCATGTCAGAAAGGCTTCTGGATTGTACTTTTTTGTTTTTTTGTTTTTTAAAGAATGTTTGCCTTACCTAGCACATCAATACTAAAGTACTTCTGAGAGGTGCCCGCAATGTTAGTTGCCTTGCAGGAATATCTTCCGGCATCCTCTGCAGTGGTTTTGAAGAGTTTTAGTGTCTTTCCATTGTTCACAATCTGTATAGTGTTGCTTTCGGTCACCTTAAAGAAACAAAATGGTTGGGGTCATTTCCAATCTTACTAAAAATTCATAATAAAAATTGAAAAAATGCTTGTATTACTCTTACTACAAAGAAACCCACATTTGGGCGATCCGTTTAAGTGCAGAGTTAAGGAGATACCTGTACTGAGATGTCTTTATTTACCTGGATGCCATCTTTATACCATGTTATGATGGGGGATGGGGTACCTTCCACTTCACAAAAGAGACTGGCCAGCTGGTTTAGCAACACTGACACATTTGTCACATGATCTTTGTCTTTAATACCTGGGGGAACTGCAAAAGAGAGGAATCGTGACTAGTTTTATAATAAATGTTATTTGTCAGCTTCCCTTTGAAGTCCCTTCAGAAGCAACTTCAGAGACACAAAATGGTTAGAAAAGTTAGGTGTATATAGACATGTGTTTTATCATAAAGTGAAAAGTCTTAACCAATATATTGATTGATAAAAATCTTTTACGGAAAGTTTTACTTATTATTTCAGAGTTGGAGGAAATTTATAGAAGAATTTCATATACTGTTAAAAAGACAAGCTGCTAGCTAGGGTCTTTTTGGGTCACATGGGACTCATTAGTGATGAAAGAAAGCAAATACCAAACAAATTTTAAAATGTACATATGCTTTTATGTATGGAAAATAGCATATGGACAGGATTTCATGTCAGAGGGTTCCTTACAATAACAAACAACTGGTGATAACCTTTAAGCTCATCATTAGTAGAAGGGTAAATAAAGCATACATAACAGATGGATGCTATGGATAAAATGAGGATCTTGATAATTTTCAAGATAGAACTGATCTAGGTATGTTCTTTTATATATGTATTTTTCATAGTTACAAGAGAGTAAAATATTACATATTTACATTTATTTATATATTTATATTCCAAAATATATTTGTATTCTTAAAATGACTGAGATGTCTCTCTGCCTATGTCTGTCTCTATCTTTGCCTTTCACACACACATACATGCAAACACACACACACACACACATATATATAAATACGTGCACGTTCACACACACACACACACACACACACACACACAACTGTATGAGTGCACAAAGCCAAATATTTTCCTTGCCTATAACAGAATCACATCAAATGGATCAGCTCAGGGTAAGGATAACTTTATTATTTTGTCATTCTCTACCATTCAAGTTTCAATTGATGTAAAAACCATACTCAAAAATTACATGGAACTTTAAATGCAATTAAAAATGCACTCAGACCACCAGTGTTTTGTTTTACTAGTATCTAGTCATAGTAATATTAAAAAATACACCGAGAAATAATACAAATATTAAAAAATTTACAAGCTGCCACATATGCATTTGTCTGATTTTAGGATTCTTCATTCTTACCATGGACTTTGAGGTTGTATTTTTTTTCTGTGGTTCCAGCCTCATTCATCGCCACACAGATGTATTCCCCATTGTCATGTGGTGTAACAGAAGCAATGACAAACAGTGTGCCATTTTCCAAGACAGATATACCAGGCTCTCTGCCTGTCAACTCTCTACCATTGCGTAACCATTTGATGGTTGGTTTAGGAGTACCTAAATAAGAAATCAACACCTTTTTAAGCAACAAGATTAGAAATCATCATTAAATATCAAGTTCATCATGGCCAGATACAATTTTTCTGGACTATAATTTGTACCCTTAGATACTATACTACTTTTAAAATACTTCTCCAGACATGGAAATATGAGAAGATTATGGTCCTTTTGCTTATGATTTGGAATCAGTCTTGAGATCTACACTTTGTACTTTAAAGTTTTCTCAAAGTTGTTTTTATCAATACATTCGGATGAGAATGAGCAAAGGATTTTCGTGTTGTCTTCACAGTGGTAGATTTAAAGAAAAACTATTTCATCAGATTGATGTAGGGAGAGTTTGGGAGTAAAATAAAGCGAGTAAAAACATGATACTGTCACAGGAATGTATTGCAAAGATTTCCAAATCAATTAGATTGCATAAAGGATATACAGAAGTTATGTTTCATAATTCACTGTATAAACATGCCTGATACAATACACATAAAAACCTCTACTACAATGTTTATATTCTGGAGATATCATCTGTCAAATAAAAGATAATAACTTAATTTTTGAAAAATAAGTGAAGATGGCTGAGACCTTTAATCCTATCTATTCAGAAGGCTGAGATATGGGGATCCTGGTTCAAGACCAGCTCAGGCAGGCAGACAAGTCTGAGATATATTCATCTTCAATTGACCAGCAAGAAGGCAGAACTGGAGGCATAGCTTAAATAGGAGAGCAGAAAGTCAGCCAGAAGCAAAAAATGTTGAGTGAGAGCTTGAAATCCTGAGTTTAAGCACCCATACCAGCACCCATACCAAGAAGGGAAGGAAAGAGGGAGGGAAGAAGTGAGGGGATTATATGACAGATGTATTCACAGGTAAAGATGACAAGTCTATACTGAAGTATACAGCTAAGCTAAAAACAAAGCTAGAAATAAATACTAACTTGATGCTAATGATGTATTTATTTTCCCAACAATGTACTAGGAACTATTCTAAGCACTTTAAAATATTGCTTAATTCTTAAAGGTAAATTAAAACCTTACATAAAACTAATTTTGTTTCATAAAACAGTATATATCTTAGGTTAAAATATAATATATTAATGGATGAACATATAATCTAGACTAAAACAACAAAAAGTGGCAGGAACACATTGAATGTCTCCTGGAAGCTACAGTCAAGTTGAGTTAACATCTGATCAATGTTGAGTATGTAAATCATATTTATGGATCCATTTTAATGTGCTCAGGGATGAGGAAAGGAATTTAAAAGGGATAGATACTTTTCCTGTCCATGATATGAAGGAAAAAAAGAAGTGTAATAATTTCCTTTCATCCCACCCATTCTTTTTATACACTTCTACACACTTTCATTAAAATTTAGACAGCAAACATAATATTTTAGACTTAAGATTTTATTAATATTTAGAGTAATACCTGCAAATGAATCAACCAAAGAAAGTAGCATAACTATAATCAAAATGGAATTCACTGCAAAAGACAGGGATACATTCTCTGGCACCAATGGGTCATATCTGTAACCCTTAGCAACTCAGGAGACTGAGATCCGAGGACTATGGGTTAATGTTAGCTAAGAGAGACAAATAAGAGACACTCTTATTTCTAATCAACCAGCAAAAAGCCAGAAGTGGAGGTATGACTCAAGTGGTAGAGTTCCAGGCTTGAGCAGAAGAGCTAAGCCTGGAGGAGGCCTGGAGTTCAAACGTTACTACCTTTACACAGATGCACATGTGTAGATGCTCACGTGCACATGCACACATGCACGCACGCATGCGCATGCACACACATACACACACACACACACACACACACACACAAAAGGATTAAGTTATCGCAATACTTTGAACTTAATTACATTCTAGATGAAGATGAGGAACTAAGAAGAGATTGTTTTGATTTGTTTGTGTGTACCAGTCCTGGGGCTTTAACTCAGAGCCTGAGTTTTGTCCCTGAGCCTCTCTATGCTCAAGACTAGCACTCTACCACTTGAACCACAGCACCACTTCCAGCTTTTCGGAGTAGTTTATTGGAGATAAGAGTCTCATGGACTTTCTTCTTGGCCTGGCTTCAAACTGCAATCCTCAGATCTCATCCTCCCGAATAGCTAGGATTACAGGTGTGAACCACTGGCACCCAGCTTGTTTTGATTTTTTTTTTGAAGTAGAAAAGGGAAAGCAAAATAGGAATTCAGCTTGAGAGTGAAGCCTCAGGTAGTTAGAAGCAAGGACAATAGTGTTAAGGTAGACAGAGCCCAGGGAACTGAGGGCCTTCAGCACCTTCTTAGACTCATACTGCCCTAACTTTCACTGGCTTTAAGAATAGTAACTCAGGCAGTGATGCTGAGGTTCAAATGGTAGAGTGCTAGCCTTGAACAAAAGAAGCTCAGGGGTGCCCAGGCCCTGAGTTCAAGCCCCAGGACTGGCAAAAAAAAAAAAAAGAATAGTAACTCATAACTTTGTAGAGGTCTAAAAAGTTCTTTAAAGTTAGGTTCCTTTTAATGTTTATTGGAAGTAATCATTGCAGTTTGGTACTGTAGAGAGATGCAAACTCTTGCTACAGAAGGTAAAAGCACCAGAAGGGTGTTGGATTGCTGCTGTCTTCAGGAACAATCACTGAACAACGTGCAGGGGTGGGGAGGTGTCTGCCACCTGCAACCCTCCAGGAGTTATGCACAGAACACTGGCTGTGCATTGCCAAACTACAAATCCAGCTTGACTTACTGTGGATGAATGCATTCATGGAGAAAACATGTCCTTCATCTTATATTTGGCATGCCAAGGAAGGATGACACAGACAGTGCCTCTTCCGTGTCCACTTGAGGAGAGAGAACAATTTCTGGACAGGAAAGTGGTAGAATAGAAAGCCCAGAACCATGGGCATGAAAAACATCCCCAAGAGTCAAGTTCCAGAATAAACAGTTGAGAGTAGACTAGTTTCAGAATAAACAGTTGAGAGTAGACTAGAAAAAGAGCTTTTATTTATGTTTTTAAAGTAACTATAACAAATAAGTGCCTAATTCTAATTGATACCTCTGACTAATTGAGATAAAGCTGGAATATTTTTGAATAACTCTGTAACATCTTAAAAAGAACGTGTCAAACAGAATGAAATAAGTAGCAGGAAGAACATGACATTCATATCAGATTAGGTACATTTAAGAGCTCTCTATTGAAAGAAATAAAATGCCTTGGAGGGAGAAAGCATTTATTCAAAGAGTTGATGTTTAAGTCAAGCATGGTGGCTCAAGTCTGGAATCCTTGCTACATTGGTGGCAGACATTAGGGAGATTGTGGTTCTACGCCAGACCACAGAAAATTAGTTCTCAAGATTCCATCTCAATCAAAGACTGAGCAAAGTGGTATATACTTATCTCAGCTACCAAGGAAGCATAATGGCTGGACGTCCTGGTGCATGCATGCTCCCCAGTGATGCAGGCAGAAAAGTATAAGAAGGATGCCCATGTCAGCCAGGGCATAAAGTGAGATTCTACCTCAAAATAATCAGTGGGAAAAGTGATTGGAAGCATGGCTCAAGTGGCAAATATGAGGCTCTGGGTTTAAGCCCTAATACCACCACCTAAAAAAGAAGTGGTATTGCTTGAAAGAAGGGAGAATTTCCATTATGCTCAACTTGTCTAACTGGGATTGACAAATGGAATTTTATCCAGATAATTTTTGGGGTTGCAATGAAGACATTTAGAATAATCAAACATTGCATCAAGGCCTTTACTTCCAAGGATTACTTACCTTTCACAGGACAGGGAAATGTGATTCGTTCATTAGCCAGTCTTTCTTGGAATGGAGTGTCAAAAGGAGGTGCTAGATCTTCCATTGTAGGTGGCTCTATTACAAAAATAAATGCATTACCACAGATGATCCTTAGACAATTAAAATTCTGCTTGCTGAGGCATCATCGATCACTTTCATTGTCAAGTTGGTCAGCCTCACCATATATATTTCTTATGTCATAAAATCACCTTGAACATGTAGCGTTATGTCTGCCTCATCACGGCCTGCTATGTTAGTAGCAGCACACGTATACACGCCTGCATCTGAAAGCATGGCCTGGTCAATGCTTAAAGTTCCATCTGGATTGCTGACACGCTGCCCTCCATCAACCAGCACCGTCCTTCCACCTTTAAGCCAGGTGATCACAGGAGGCGGTGACCCTTGGGTACTACAGGGTATGTCCACTCTTTGGCCGACTTGGATTTTTATATATTTAGGACCACGCTGTATCTTCGGAGGAACTGGAATCGATAATTGAGGGTTAATAACTTGACGTTCAGAATTATTCCAAAATAATTACAGTTATGTGAATGATCTGGAAACTAATATCATGTCTCTGCTCTCCTGTTATTCTCTCTCTTAATTGTACTCAGATATATGCTGTTGTTTTAATTATTGAATATTGTTTGCTTTTTACTCAATAAACAAATACACTATCACAATAAAAAAAATAATTCGACTTTCAAAATTCCTTTGTTCTCTCATTTTGCATGAAAAAGTGGAGCAACCTTCAGATTGTGTCCTTTACTAGCTGTATTAGTTAGAGTACACTTCCTGAGGCAAAATGAACTCAAGACACTAGTACACTGCAAAAATGTATAGAATAGATATAAAGCTCCTAGTTCCAAATTTGAGGAATAATAGCAAGTGTGTAAAGCTGCTAAGTTGCTTTAAATTTACAAATAACATTTTAAAGGCCTGTAAAATGACACTTCATATAATTTGTATAGCATAAGAAAATAAAACAAAAAACATTTCTCTCCCTGTACTCACATTTGGTTCTCTTTGTGGAAGACTTACACAGCAAAAAGAGCATTTATAAAGCCTCTTGCTTTATACGAAGAAAATCATTCAAAGTCTGCCAATTTTTCCTTTTCTACTTTAACAATAAGGTAGTTTGACAAAACACTTGAAAAGATTCTTAGTTTTTGCATACATATACTGCACATGTACAGTCAAATTGAAGCACAAGGGAAAGATTACAATTTATGTAATCAACAACTTTAAAAGCCTGACTCTTTGTCCTTTTTTCTTTAACTTAATATTTACTGGATCCTTTCTAAAAGTTGACACTCACAATAATCTCATACCTGACTGTGACTATGATACTGTGACTACATTTTATGAAAGTGAAAACTAAAGATAGGAACAGCTAAGTGGTCTGCTTAATTCACAGAACTGGTAAACGACAGAAATGGAATCTTATGTCAAACCCTGAGATGAATATAATACAATTATGGTGATCAATCTGAAAGTCAAACCAGATCAATTCTGTCTGAGAAGGTATCTTTTGATATTGGATCTCTGACATCTACAGGTACTCAAGGAATGAATGGATGGATG